TGCAAATCAGGGATCGGCGCGGCAGCCAATGGGCAGCGAGCCGGCCGCGGCGGCAGCCAATGGAAAGGCCCGGGTAGGGATATCCGCGGCGCGGCGGCGGTAGCGCTGGCAGTGCGGCGGCGGGCGGCGCGCAGGGCGGAGCGGCGGCGGCGGAGCGGTAAGGAGCGGCAGCTGCGGCCGGAGGGGTCCGGCCCGGCCCGCGGCGCGCTGCCACGGCGTTTGTTTTCCCGCAGGCGCCGGGACCGTCTGTGCGCGGCGCTCCTGGGCGGCGGCGAGCGGCCGCTGCCTGCCGGCCATGTCGGGCCGCGGAAAGTCCGGCGGTAAGGCGCGGGCCAAGGCCAAGTCGCGCTCGTCGCGGGCCGGGCTGCAGTTCCCCGTGGGCCGCGTGCACCGGCTGCTGCGCAAGGGCAACTACGCGGAGCGGGTGGGCGCCGGGGCGCCGGTGTACCTGGCGGCCGTGCTGGAGTATCTGTCGGCCGAAATCCTGGAGCTGGCGGGCAACGCGGCCCGCGACAACAAGAAGACGCGCATCATCCCGCGGCACCTGCAGCTCGCCATCCGCAACGACGAGGAGCTCAACAAGCTGCTGGGCGGCGTGACTATCGCCCAGGGCGGCGTCCTGCCCAACATCCAGGCCGTGCTGCTGCCCAAGAAGACGCAGAGCTCCAAGAAGTGAGCGCTGCCCCTCTCCCGGCCCCTTCCTCGCCGCTGCCCCCCGCACCTGGTTCCCCTCCTGCTCCTGCGCCCGGGTTGTGGGGTGAGCCCCGGCTGTGCCCCTCCAGCTCTCCACTGGCCCCCGGCCTGGGCTGTAGTAGGGTGCTGGGGGAGCGCGGGCGAGGCCGGGCCCCTCTTGTGTCCCCACCCCGCCCCGACTCTCTGGAAGAAGCGTTTTTGCAGGAGATGGCGGGGGTGCGGCTGGCGGGGGCCGGGGCGGTGCGGTTGGGTCGCTGCGTGGAGCTGCCGAGGACTGTTGTGGCTGCGTGGGGATGGACACGGGCACCTCCGGCTGCCTCCACCGGCCCTGGGGCCCTGCAGGCCCCCCCGCGGCTGTCCTTGCTGCCCTGGCGTGGGGCTGAGGCTTGCTGCTGCTGCACACCCTGAGCGGTGCCATCCCCGCTGCACTGCGGCAGGGGGGGCTGGCAAATGCGAAAAGCAGAAGTTTCTCCGTCAGCAAGGAGCGACTGTTAGTTTTAGTTCTGTCCGTGGTTAAAGCTCGTGCGTTCCTACTGTTAAGAAGCTCCGGTCCTATTTATTTGGAGGTATTTTATTTTGGGTAGTCCCTTCCCCCACAGAGGCAGCTCCCAGCTCAGGGGGCTTTGGGGCACTCCGGTGTCAAATCCCCGCAGAGCAGTGCAAGGTCAGGCGCCGGGAGCTGCCATGTTCTGCTGCGGCTCCGTGCTGCTGGCGGAGCGGCCCCGTCTGTGGGAGCCCCCCGTGTCCCTCGGCTCCATCACACCCCGATGGCACTTCCAAAAATGACATGCTGTGTCTTTCTGTTTGTTCAACACCGTTTCTGGTTCTGAGAAATAAAGTGATGATGCTGTCTGTTATGTGTAACGTTCTGTGGATGAATGTTTCTTTATAAAACAGCAACAACAGTACAGTTTGTGCGGAAGCCTGTTCCTAGCTCGAGCTGCATGTACTGAATGGCCGTGGATAATGTAGGCTCACAGGGCTGTCCCGTGACACCAGGAATGGCTGATGTGCTGACAGTGTTCTCACTGCCTAGTGCAGCCTGCTGCCATGGAGGCCCATCGTCACGTGCATGCGGCGCTGTCTGGGCAGTTGGACTGCAGACCTTCACGACCTCTTGTTTTTCTCTTGTTTTTCTGAGTAAAATGAGCAGCTTCTATTTATGTGCTGTAAGTAGCATGTGTTCAGCCTATTGCCTCTGCTGTTACCCTAGTGGGTGAAGTACCTTAGCCTGGCGCTGGCACTGTCCTCACCTAGAGCAGATGAAGCTGGATGCGTGCTGCTTCAAGGGAGGGGTTTTGTGCTCTGCTGGAGGACGTGGAAGCGGCACTTTTGGTGCGCTCACGTGGTGCAGATGTCCCCCGGTTACGCTGTGCTACCCTGATCTCGGGATGGGGGGAGATGGGGTGGGAGCAGCTGGCTGTGTGCCCTGCTGCAGCACGGCTCCCTGCTGCACGGGGACCGTGGGCTTTCTCCCCATGTGTGCTGCCGTGGGGGGTGGGTAACGTGTCTGCACCCACGTCTTGTTTTCTCCCTCCTTTCCTTCAGGACCAGCGTTCTGTACAACTGAGTGCTTTGTATTAGAAAATGCAGAACTTGTCATACTGAAAAGAATGGTGCAAACCCAATATTTGATTAAACTGGTTCCCTGTTGAATACTGTTGAATGTGCTGTCTTGTCACCACACCAAGTCTGCTCTAGCTGGTAGTGGGCTGCAGGAGCAGGCTGTGAGGAAGCTGGCTGTCCGGGCTTGCTTTTCCCTGAGCAGAAAGGACCAGATCTAGCCTAGCACCTGTGCATGCACTTATCTCCTACATAGCATTTTCCACTCACCCTGGGGGCAGTTAAAACCCTTCCCCAGCTCTTCTTTCTGCTGCAGGGATGCCGTATTGCCTGCTCACTCTGTCAGTGGTGCCTGGGAGCGTGTGGGGCCCCTGGGCTGGGAGCAGCAGAGCAGAATGAAGCTGCAGCTGGAGCCTTCCCCCAGTCTCTGCTGGAGATCCTCAAGGCACTGAATGAGCTTCTGGAGGTCTGATGGGAACAGCTGACACAGATGGGGGCGGGTGGAGGCCTGTGTGTAATGGGGGATGTTTACTCTGACACCCTTTTCCTTTCTTGAGTGTTCGAGGGTTACTGCTGTGATGGCACAGCAAGCCAGAGCTGCTGCATACCCTCATGCTTGGCTGGGGGAGAAGGGCTGTAGGAAGCTTCCCCCACAGTCAGGGCTAGGGTTTGGCCGGGTCTGAGGTGTGCATTCCAAGTTGTGGGTCAGGACTGGAGCTGCTGGACTCAGCAAAGGAACAGCTGTCCTTTCTTTGGCCTTTAAGTGCTGCCCAGTGAGTGCTGCACAGCAGGTCCCCCGGGGCAGGGCAGGCACAGGGGTGTGTTGGGCTGGCTGAGTGCTGCATAGCAGGCCTGGGGCTGAGCAGCTCAGTAGCAACTGTGGTCATCCCCCGACTGCCGGTGGCTGAGGTGATGGGGAGATGCTGCAGCTGTAACTGCACCCCTGGCAGCTGGGTGAGAGCTGGGCACTGCCAGCCACATGAATGACAGCCTGGGAAAGCCTGGCTGCTGGCAGACAGAAAGGAAATCGCGTCTGTCCAGCCTAGCATTACTGAAGGGCTCAGCCTGTGGTGTCTCCTTATCTTCACATCTGAACAGCAGTGTGACCACTGGGAGCACCTGGATTCCATACAATCTTCATCAAGCGGCTGGGACAGACCTCCAGAGCTGCAGCTCCGGGTACTGCTGGATGCCTCACGGCACCAGAGCAGCTGAACTCAGAAAAGGTGCTGGGCTCAACTACGTGGAGCTTCTGAGGTCGTGCAAGCCTCAAAGCCTGCACATCAGCCTCTGCTTCTCTGTGAGGAGAGCTGGGGACTGCAGGGCTCTCTCCTCCACTGCCTCCCCTTGGGCACACTGCAGCCCGAGGGGGAGATGGGTGCAGGAACATGGAAATTGAGCTTCTCTGTGCTGCAAAAGCTCTCTGCCTTCATACCGCAGAGCTGGACCTTGCTGCAGTCCTCTTGGGGTGAGGTTGGTGCTGCCTGCCCTTGGGAGTCCTGGCTTTGCCCCCAGAGGCAGGCCCTACGGGCTGGCAGCATCTGTGGGATTGCACAGAGATGCCGTGGCTCCAGCAGTCTTGAGCTGGGCAGCAGGACGCTGCCAGCCCCTCTGCCCCAGGGCTCTGGCTGGGCCAGCAAGGTGTGCTGGGGCACAGAGCATCGCCTCTGTCTGCCCTTTGCTGTCTGGGCTTGGGCTCCACTCCCCTTTGCCTCTGCACCGCACTACTCAGGAATGTCAGCAGTGCTTTATCTATTTCTATCCGTCTGCCCAGCAGTGTGCTTGAAGGGTCACTGCTGTAGGCAGCAGAGCAGGAGGAAGCAGGGACACCCTGCTGCTGGCACACAGCCTGCTCCAGGGAACTGCAAGAACCTTTGAGTGTGGCTCTCCTCCTGCCGGAGGCCAACCAGCTCGGTGATGGCATTCCCTCTGCTCCTCCAAAACCTGCAGTGTCATCTATTGACTGAGGAGACAACTGCAGCTCTGCGCCGAGTGCAGCAGCTCTCCCAGCATCTGAGACGGCTGGCAGATAGCCAGCCTCGGTGTGACTGTGCCTGCCTGACCCAGCAGCTGCGTCCTGAATGCAGATCTGGAGAGCCTCCCAGAATTCACACATCTCTGTTCACCCTGCTGCCGGCCATCAGATACTGGGCACCCTGGGGATACCGGCTTCATACCCATGCAGCAGCTCCTTGAGGTGCAGCGTGACCCCACTGCCCCTCCTTGCTGCCCCGGCCCCGCCATGTTCATGGTGCAGGAGCTGGGAGGTGTCTCACAGGGCTGAGTTCCCGAGGACCCAGTGGAACAACATGGCCCAGATCCCCGGCAGAGCTTTATGCAACCTCCCTGCTGCGAGCTATAAATAGGCACAGCCGATGGAGGGGCGGCTCACTCTGCACCGATGCCAACGGAGCCATCGGTGCCTGCACGCAGCTGCAGCTCCTGGGGGAGATGCTCCCGTGCGGTGCCAGGCAGTGAGGGGGGGGGTGATGGAGCCCCGGAAGGCCTCGAGCTGCGCTAGGGGTGATGCTGCACCGCTGAGCCCCCCCCTCGCTGCTCCAGGCGCTTTGCCAATGACAGCTGCGGGCCGGGCCTCTCTTCCCGCCAGGGGAAATCCCCGATGCCTTTCGTGCGGTGCCGCAGCCCCCGGAGCCTGCAGGGAGCACATCACCACCGCTCCGAGTTTTTTATCAATTTATTTGAAACGACGTCAAATTGGAAAAAAAAAAAAAAAAAAAAAAAAAAAAAAAAAAAAAAAGTCTCCCACCCTCAAAAAAAAAACGAAACCCAACCCCAAAAACGTTTAGAAAAAAAGAAAAAAAAAAACGAACCAAAATTAAAGGCCATTAAGACGCGACCTGACCGCCAGGCCGGGAACCCCCACCGCCGGGGGCCGCTCGGACGCGCGGGCCCTTTAAGCGCGCCAGACGCCGCGGGAGCCAATTGGCGCCTAACGGGCGGTTGCCATGGCGCCGGGGGCCGGGAGCCAATAGGGGGCGCCGTGGCTTTTCGAATGGCCGCGAGCAGGAGCGGCGCGCCAGGCGGGCGGGGCGAGGAGGGGGGCGGTGAGCGCCGGCCCACGTGGCGCGGGGGCAGCGGGGGCGCCGAGCGGCTGCTATAGAAACCGGGCGGGAAAAAGCCCCGCGAGGCGGCGGGGAGAGGGGCCGGGGGTGATCCGAAAGCGCCTGCGAGCGGGGAGGGGCGCGGCCGAAAACAAAAGGGAGCGATCGGAAAGAGGCGGGCGGGAGGAGCGGGGAGGAAAAACGAGGCGAGACGGAGGGGGATGGGGCGCACGGAGCGGCCCCCCGGAGTCCGTCCGCAGAGCAGCCTGCCCCGCGCCCCCCAGTCCGGGCGGGGAGCGCCCCCCGCGCCGCGCCCCCCCTCATGCCTTCCGGCCCTTGAGCGCCTTGGGCTTCGCGGACTTCTTCACCTTCTTGCCCCCGGGGGACGCGGCTCCCTTCTTAGCGGCCTTCTTGGCTTTGTCCTTCCTGGCCGCCGCGCCGCCCGTTCCCTTCTTGTGCGATTTCTTCTCGGCCTTCTGGCTCTTGCCCGCGGGTTTCTCCGCCCGCCGGGACGCGGCGGCCGTCGCCTTCCTGGAGGCTCTATGCGCGCCGCCGCCCGCTGCCCCGTCCCCACCGCCCTCCAGCTTCTTTTTGTTAAGCTTGAAGGAGCCGTTGGCTCCGGTGCCCTTGACCTGCAGCAGCGTGTCGTTCTGCACCAGCGCCTTAATGGAGTACTTCAGGTAGGTGCGCCCATTCTGCTGATCGAACCACGCCACCTTCTTGGCCTCGTTGTAGATCTTGGCCAGCGAGGAGCCGTTGCGCTCGCCCAGCTTGCGGATGGTCTCCACCACCAGCTGGCTGTACTTGCCCGGCTGGTTCTTCTTCTTGTTGTTCTTTCTTTTCTTCGATGGCGATAACGAAGAACCGCCGGCTTTCGCCTTCTTAGAGGCCGCTTTCTTCTCGGCGGAGATCGGTGCCTCCTCCGCCTCGGTCAGGGGCAGATCGCCTTCTTCCAGTTCCACCGACATGGTGCCGGGGGCCGCGGGACGGAGGCGGGAAGCGGGCGGGCACAAGCGGCCGCGGCGTGGCGGGGCCCAGGCCCTACGCGCTGCTCTCCGACTCCGATCCGCTCCGCGCCGCCGCCGCGCACTGGCGGGGCGGGCGCCTTCGCCTCCCTTATATGGGCGCTGGGCGGACCGCGTTGAGAACAACAACAGCCTGGTCCGCCGCCAGCTCCCACTTGTGCTTCTTGGGGCCCTTCCGTGGGGCTCCTGCGCCTCCGCTGGCGCCCCCCGCCCCGCTCCACCCGCGCCGCGCCCCCCGCCCCGCCGCCTCCCCACACGCCACCGCCTCCGCGGCCCCCTCCCGCCGCCCTCCGCAGCGATTTGGGGAGCGCGCCCGGCACGGCGATGGGTATGAGGAGGGGGGCACTAGATGCGACGGAGGCTGGAACGTTGCGGCGGCCACCCCGCGCCGCCCCTCCGCCGCCGTCTGCGGCCGGAGAGGGGCCGCCGCGAGCGGAGAGCGTTGCGGGGCGGCGGGGGGCGGTGGCGGAGGCGCTGGGCCCTGGTTCCCGCGGGGAACTAACACAGGGAACGCCCTCCCGCGGCCACCGGCTGCAGCGCGGAGCCGCCTAGCCGACGCCGGGGGTCCCCGCCCAGGCGGAGGGGGCCGCCCCCCCGCCGCCCCCCACCGCGCTGCCGCCCGGACGGGGCCCCCAGAGGGGTGGGTATCAGCGCGAAGGACAGGGGGGCGGGGGGCAGCAGCGGTGCTACGAGGGGTCCGCCTCGTAATACACCCCCCCGGCAAATTCCAGCTGCGAACCGAAGCTCGGGGTGGCGAGGGGGGGAAGGGACGCGAATCGACCGCAGGGCCGGGCCTGAGGGCGGGGGGCCTCTGCTTCAACTCCTGGGGAAGCGCGGGGGTGGGGGGGGGCGTGTGCCCCCAACGCAGCCGAGCCAGGAGCTATGGCGGCGCGGGGAGAACACGCTTCCCCCCGGGAGTCCACACGACGCTGTGCCGCACCCCCACGCCCATACACGTGTGCGCGCCCCGCATTCACACATGCGCGCACACGCGCGCATAAGCCCGCAGTCAGCCCCTGCCCGCACCGCCTCGGCGTCACCTCCCCTTCTCCCGGCACTGCTCCGCCATTTCCCTGCCCTCGCCCCCCGCCGCCAGCCCGCGCTCCCCGGACCTTCCCTCCCCCTGGCCACGCACGATCCCCGCGCGAGGCCTCCCCATGGGAGTGTCCCCACCCCGCAGAGCCCCCCCGAGGGAGCACAGCGCTGGGATGGACGCACAGCCCCTTGGAAGGGGGGGGAGGGGGGCTTTCGCGGCCCTGCAGCCCCCGGGGCACTGCTGCGCTGAGTTGGGGCCGGATTCAGCCCTCAGTGGAGCCGGGTGTAGTGGGCAGATTGCCGCGGGTGAGAAGGAGCACACAGATACAAAGAGGACCTGGGGGCATCCGTGTGTGAGCTCTGTGAGCTCCTGAGAGATGGTAGAGAACAGGAATACAGATTTATCAGGATAGGATTTAAATACAGTGTAGCTGCACAGAGTCTGGTGGAAGACCGCCTGTCCTTCTCCCCCCTTCCTCCCCCCTCCCTCCCCGCTTTCTCCATGCTCTTCTTATGCACATAAACACAGCACAAATACATACATGTACCCAGAGTAGTCATACAGGCGTGTATCTGTGCTGTAGGCATCCATCCATCCATCCATCCATCCATCCATCCATCCATCCATCCATCCATCCACACACAATATATTTTCCTGTGAGTATGCATGTGTTGTGTATAGTGCTTATACATCTAATATACTGCTTATAGGCGTAACTGACTCTGCATGTGTCCATATTTTCTATCCACCTCACTCCTGCACCACCCACCCATGTGTGCATACATATCTGATGTGTGCAAATAGAGCCCATAAAGGTGTTTGCATCCATCTAGCTCTGTACATAATCAGACACTTCTAATTAAACTGAAGCATGCTGACACAGGGGCTGTGTAGACAGCAGAACACACACAGGCACCTGCGGGCTTCTTTGTGCTCTAGTATGCCCTGCTCTGTGGCTCTCCACGTACACATAACCCCGTGCACATACACATATATGTATGCATATTTACTCACACAATATATACATTATAGTTTGTGTAGATGTGTTGATATATGTCAGAACACACACAGACTTCAGATAAATGCATTTCCATGTACCCCAGGCAGGCAGAAGCATGTCTGTGTGCCCTCATTTCCACAGGTGCAGCCAGGCTGTGTTCACAGCTGGGTGTTGTGGTTGAGGCCATTGAGGGCTGCAGGTGCATGGGGACAGGGCTGATGCTTCAGCAGAGAAATGGCTTCCCCTCAACACAACGTGCGCTGCAGGGACTATCAGCCCAGCCAGCATCAGCCTGCGCAGGCATGAGGTGATGCTTTCAATGGCAACCAGCACAAGGCTCGAGTTCCTCAGAAAGATGCAGTCCCACCAGGACACAGCTATTGCAGGGCAGTTGTTTGAAATGGATGTGGACAGCAACAGCCAGTCAAGCAAGAGAAAAGCGTGCAAGGATAAAGCCACAAAGTAGGATACAGAACACAAAGGCTGTTAGAAGTCCCTTGAAATAACTGGCCTCGTTTCTCACTGCTTTGCTTTCCGTGTTGCTGGGGACACAGCAGTGAGCGAGGCAGCACTGAGTGCCAGCAGAGGTGGCAGCAGAGCAGAGGTCATGCCCAGAACCTAGGAACTGCACACCTCAGGGTGAGCAGACCAGATCAGGCAGAGAACCTTTGCTCAACCCAAGGAGCATGAGCAGAGATAGCTGCCCTACTCAGGTCTGTGGGGTCACCCAACTAAATAACGCCTGCCCAGCCCCCTCTTAAGGGAACAACCTTACAGTACAGAGGCTGCACCATTGAGGAGGCACCGGTTCAATGAAAAGGTGACAGAGGAGGAGGAAGAAAGCATGTTAGTGAAGGAAAAAAGAGAGTCAGAAACAGAAGTAAACAAGGAAGTTTGTTCTTGTTTAGTTTATTGGCATCATGTTTGTCTCTTTACATAAGAGCTCAGCCTACGTACTAGAATGTAGACCTCTGGAAAACAGGTAGAAGGGCTCCATTTAAGCAAGCTACAAACGCAAGAACAAATACCAGGAAGAAAGGAAGAGAGAGAACAGGGACTAGAGTGCCAAGTTTCCCCATACCAAAAAATCCAGATTAGCAGTCAGTAAGAAGAAAAGGAAGATCCATAGTCCAGGTCGTTCATTCAGACACAGCTACCATAACCCGGGTGGGAGAGGAGCTCCTTCCACAGCGCAGAGAGCCACTGCAGCACCCCAGCTCCGGCTCCTTCTCATACTCAATCCAGGACATTAGGAGTTAAGCAGGAGGAGAGGTGAACAGTGAGGTCATTTCATAGCTGTATTTAATTTTAAACCCAATAATCCAGTGTGCATGTCAATGCTGTTATGCAAATCTCAGAATTTAGATACAAGGTAGCCAGACAGATTTTCCAGAAGATGAAGCCTCTCGGCCTCAGAACAAGACGACTTACATAGTTCATCTCTACTGTACAGAATACTGCCTCTATCTGGACTCTGTGTCGCTAGCACACCACAGCTCACAAGTGTCCTCCTCACTTTCTACACAATCTGTGTTTCAGTACTTGAACATGTAATTCAGGAATTTTACACTAATTTATACATTTTTAATTGGTTGCATATATTAACATGTACTATAAGATTTCTCCTAAAGAAGCATTACATAATACATGGATACTGTAAAAAGATCTGATTAGTTAAAAGTAACAAGCATTAACAGAGATACATACAAAACTCAACCTAGTTAGACTGAGTGCTGAGCTTGCAATGAACTATGGGTAATCAGCCTTTCCAGTTGCAGCCTTCACAGGGGAAAACACAAGACAGTTAAAAATGTATGTAACTTGTTACACAGATTACCTGTAAACAGTTTCTCTCCATTGGACACCTGGAATTAGATTCAGTTCCAAACATACATACGAATTTCCATTTTAAACTAAGAGAAAGGCCTGTTACCATGAAGTGTGATGTGGATGGTGCGGGGATGTGAGCTCTGAAGTGCTGGGCTCTCAGATGCTCATGGGAGATGGGTGGATTTTGGCAGCTGGAGATGGAATTATTTTTTTTTTTTAATTTTCTTTTTAAACACAGAAGAGGGGCTGTGTGTTTGAAGGCCTAAGTGTGATATTTGTTTGTGAAGGACTGTGCTCAACCCCTCCCTCTTCCCTCAGCAGCTGCAGCTCTCCGCAGAAGCCTTCACTCGGTCGTTCTTGTCTAGTTTGATGGGTTCGGGGAATTCGTTGTAAAGCTCCACTTCGGTTTCCTAGCAGGAGGGAAGGAAGAGTTAATGCCACAGCTGTCCACAGCGCTCTCAGCACGCTGAGGGCCGGGGAAAGCCGGTGGAGAGCCCAAGCCTTCCCAGCCGCCTGCACTGGCTGAGCCCGGCACGCAGGGCCAGCACCAGCAGAGGGCACCGCCAGCGCCTTCATACCTGTTTAAGTGCATTTCGTGCGATCGTCTGGAAAGCTTGTTCCACGTTGATGGCCTCCTTGGCACTGGTTTCAAAGTAGGGGATGTTGTTTTTACTGTAGCACCAGGCTTGCGCCCGTTTTGTGGTGACCTGGGTGGACAGAGAGCAGCATCACCACCTCCAGCTAGACAGAAAGAGGACTTGGAAACAAGTCAAGGCCAGAGACCCCTCACAGCCAACTTGAGCTAAGGCAGCACAGTTCTAACCTCACTAGAACTATAGCCTCGATACAGAGCTGTCCCTAGCAGTCCCAGCTCTAATAGCAAAGGTAAGGCTGAGTACTTTTTTCCCACAGCCTTATTTGAAGCTCTATCATAGGCAGGGCCAACTTCTGCTGGAGCACCTGATAAAACCGCCTGCCGTGAAGCTCTCAGCAAGGATGGCGCCCAGAGGAGACCAGACCACAGAGGACAACTTGCTCAGGTACCTGCAGGACAAGGACTTGCTGCTCCCAGAGCAGTTATTCAGCAGTACTGAAGGAGAAGGAGCTCTTTCTCCTTAAGCCTACCAGGGAGCTGCTGCAAGAGCTCTACCATAAGGCAGGAGCACATCATACACAGACACCTGACCTCTCCAGGTAGACAACAGCCTGGAGAAACTCTCCCACCATTGGCTATCACGTGGGGAGCCACACACACACCTTCCACTCCAGCAATTCCCTAAAAGGAGCAAGCAAGTCACAGTACTCACTTGTCTGTTTTCTAGGTCGATCTTGTTTCCCAGGACAACAAAGGGAAAGTTCTCAGGATCTCTTGGACTGGCCTGAATGAGAAACTCGTCCCTCCAGCTGTCAAGGGTTTTGAACGTGTTAGGGGCTGTGACATCAAACACCAGCACACAGCAGTCTGCTCCCCTGTAGAAGGCAACTCCCAGAGACTGGAATCGCTCTTGGCCTGCTGTATCCCATATCTGTAACAAAAGACAGGGCAAATAAGCCAGCTCTGATCTAAGACAGACACTCCACAACTAGAGTATTTATTTCAAAGACTCTCCACTAGATGTCCATAAGCCCCAGCTAACAAGACAGAAGGAACATCAGAAGGTTCGGGATTTTTTCGTAGAAACCAGGTTTCACAGACCAGAAACATCCTTCTGAAGATGGAGTTCACCACTGCTGTGCCCAACCTGAGCCAGCTTTGGATCATTGTTCTAAACAAGCAAGACCAGCCATTAGGATCGGGTGGCAGCCTGCCTGCAGCACTTGGGTACACTGGGACAGCTCAAACTCCTCTCTACTGGCTACAGGAGGGTTTCCACTGACTTGCTGTCAGCCTCACATGGAGATGAAAGCATGAGATAACAGACACATAAGCAGACTGGCAGGTTATGTGGCACTATACCCACAGGAGTAAGGGCAGCACAAGTAGGATGATCTGATTAATGAGTCCTTTTCCAGCCCTTTTCAATTCCTGAGCACTACAGAAGAGCATCTTTCCACCAAGACAAAGTACACTGACAGCACCAAAAGCTGTTTGTTTTGAAATGAGGGTTGGCAAATCTGCCACTAGCTGAGCCCAGACAAACTGATCTCTGCTTTCCCTCATTCAGCCCACATCCAGCTTTTCTGAGAGAAGCTCAGCAGCTGCTGTGGCCAAGAGCAATTTCACACCAATGGGATTCACACCCAGTACACTGGCCCCTGCACTGCTCTGAGCTGCAGTGAACAGATGCTTCCACACAAGCATAGTGCAGACACCCTCCCAGCAGGAGTCACTGCTTACCTGCATTGTCACTAGCCTGTCATCCACCATGACCTCTTTTGTCAGGAAGTCTGCACCTATCGTAGCCTTGTACTGGTTACTAAATTTCTTGTTCACATACTGGTTCATGAGTGATGTCTTCCCCACCCTGTACAGAAAGAAAAAGAGACTAAGTAGGTTGCTTTTGCAACTGTGTTTGAATTGACCACTCTAAACAAAATGTCTCCCTGCCATTTACTTTCTACCATAACCTCCTCTCCAAGAGGGGGAAAAAAAAAAAATAGAAAAAAGAGAAAACACCCACTTCCATAAGAAGGGACTTTCACAGCAATAGGTGCTGAGCAATAGGTGAGTAAAAGCTTTAGCTACATAAGGATATGAAGGCTTAAAGTCTTGAGAAACTATCTTTCCCCATCAGTAACCTGATATTCAGTCAGGAGTATGCATCACTGAATGATCATAAGGGCAGCCTTGTAAGATTAAGTGCCCCAGCAAAACAACAACACCAGTCACCTTTAGCCTCTTCAGCTGGAGGAAGAAGGCTATGGCAGCACAGCAGCTGCATGCACACCTGCCAGGGGCTCGGAGGCAGAGAACCTCCTCAGAGAAACAGCTCAGAGGGTTCACATATACGCTCTGCAGGGCTCAGAAGCACTCCCTGATCAACAGCTTGCTGGGCACATGGTATAAATAAGTGCAACTCATGGGAGTCAGGTTACAGCCTGCACAGCAAGTCCCCAACCTGCAACAGTGGCTCCTTGCCCAAGAGAGCAGAGCAGTAAAGCCTTCCTTCAAGGGGAAGGCTCCAGTCAGAAACTAAGCAGGTGGCTCAATGTAAGCTTTATCTCTGAGAGAGGCAGAGCTTTAGGAAGTCACAAAAATGCCTATTACTTTGGGGTTTTTCTTACGTTTTTAATTGAAATGCTTATTTCACCTTCAAGCTTAACATCCTTGCAGAGAGGCTTTCCAGTTTGGTCAACCCATTTCGTTTCCCTGTTAAATGTTACAGAAAGTCTTCAAGATATTAAACTGTGGAGACCCATCAGGACAGAGTGCTGGGACATTATCCTCAGGCTGTAAGGTAATATCACTATCCAGGGCTAGAGAAGTCTCTCCTCCCAGCACTGCTGACTTCCTGCTGTGCATCCAGAGTTCCACTGATCAGAGCACTGCTCCAGCCAGGTACAGATTGGCACCTTAATGGCTCCCCCACTTACCCAGAGTCTCCAAGGATGATGACTTTCAGTAACACTTTCTTCCTAGAAGTCATCTTTTAAACTAGAAAGGAAGAGAAACAATTCCATGAGACTTCATCAGCACGTTATTTCTTAAGGCAGAAAGCAGTAAGCTTGGAGTCTGAGAAGCCAGACTGCTAGCAAGGAAACAGCAGTTGGAAGAGCCTGAGGCCAGACTTCCAGTGCAGCCTTGAACTGAAGCAGTAACCAAGCATATGCCCACTGCACTGGCAAGGCCAAGCATGACCAATAGTGACAACTTGATAACAGCAAGTAGAAATACACATTTGTCCTTGGATCCAGTTTCCAGGTTGTTCTCTGGACATTGCCTCACCGGATGGAGTGGAGCAAGCTCCCAAAACAAAGCTAGTTCTTATATGTGCTGTGAGATGTAGGCAGTGATGCACCTAGAACCACACTCGAGCTTCGTACTGTTCAGCAGTTCCCTAGAAAATGAAGCCTAGCTTCTTCTACCTTCCAGATCTGTGAAAGGTAGAAGCAATAGCTGCACTCTGTGAAGACACTGAGTCCCTGGAGATGCAGTGGATGAAGCAGTCACAGTCACACAGGACAGCTGAAATTGCCATGCCAGCTACTGCCAGGCTACGGGGTCTTTATGAGGAGATGTGAAGCAAGCTACTGCCACCTCAGCTTCCTGGAAGGTGGAGTAAGACTACAGTAACAAGCCTTGTAACATTGTCTGTTGCTGCCAGACCATGAGTTGCATCCTGCCACTCTTCCTAGGTGCGTGGCCATAAGCGTGCCACTAATAGTTCATTTAATTAGCAAGAGTGAGAGTTGGGCTCCAGAGATCTACACTGTTACGTGCTCCCAGATCTCCTCCAGGTCTGTGAAAAAGCTGCAACTATATCAGCTGGAACAAACAGGCCCAAATACACCTCAGCATAGAGAGAGCAAGTACGAAGCCCTGCTGCTAGCAATGGAGAAAGGCCCCACATCAACACTCCCTACCGTGAGGCCCCACTCCCCACATCTAGGAAATAAACAGGACAAAAATCTTTGTTGCTCAGGCTTCATCAGATCACAGACCCCAGTCTGGTACTGACCTGGTCTATGTGGGCTTCCTGGCTTTCCCCAAGCAGCTCTTCCAGGCCCTCTGCAGCTGAACAAGCCAGAAGATGGTTATACATGTGCTACTTTGAATTCAGAAAACCTCTGACACAGGTTTCATGTGCTAATCCCTTAAATAGGGACTTGACTACCCTAGAACTCTCATTCTGCCACACCAACATGCATTCATTCTACTACATAACTCCTACTCTTCAAGAGCTATTCCTGACTTTCACAGCTAAGGAGGCCTTCACTCTGACAACAGCATGAATACGGGCCTCTTCTGAGCAGCTTGGTCCTACGCGTTGCTGGGATAGGCAACAGCCCAGGCTGCAAGATCACTGCTACCCACTTCATCCTGCTGCTACAGGAGGGAGCATCGTCTGAGCCGCAGAAGCCTCTTACCAGATGTGGTATCTGACTGCAAAAAGCCTTTATCATCAAGCTTTGAGCAGAGGAAGAAGGGCAGTCTTTTAGACCATCCCACCAGGGAGTGTTGCATAAGCTGAAGGAGCCATCCTGCTGCTGGTGGAGGAAGCAGTGCACTTTGGACTGCACCCACCTCATGTATGTAGTGACACATTGATGTGAAACACTGCTCGGATAGTAACAGCCAAAGGCTGCTGAGTAAACAGCCACATCCCATCCAGAGGGTTCATGCTGTCCTTAGATGGCTGTCAGTAGATGCCGGAGAGCCTGCACGGGGCAGTTACTCTTGTTATTAGCATCCCTCCTTTCTGGCTGCCTTGGAGCTGAATGTCACCAATCGACCCCAACATTCAGTCCACCTTCTGCTCATGCTAAGATCCACACTTCAGCTCATCCCGTTAACAGCAGCAGGCAGAACAGTCCATGTAAACTCTTCCAAGCAGACTGCACCTCCTTTGCTTTCAGAGCATGTAGCAAAAGCAACCTTAGTGCTAGCCAAGCCAGGGAATTCTGCAGAACAGTTTGCCCATACAGAGTAAGAAAAGTAAGCAGGGCCTTGGAACAGCTGAGAGACAGTTACATATAGTGAACTGCCATCAAAAACATCTGCACAGGTTCAGGTCTAGTGTAATTGTCACCTGTTTTCCTCAGGATCACGGGTAAACAACTCACCCTGAAGTGACTGTCAGAACACAGCACATACTGCTTCTATTTTCCTCCCAGTGTTTTTAGTATCATTTGCCATCAGCTGCTACAAGCTCACTGCCTCCTGGTATTCAAAGCAGCTTTAGACAAGCTGGCATTAGTTCTCATGCTCAGGGAGGGATTTACAGCGCCCCGAGTTACAACACTAGCAGACTGGATCCTTAGTGCCCAAATTCAACATGGCCTGAAGTCCCGCAGTGAGGCAAGGGAATGCTGCTCTGTCAGGTCTCATCACCTGGGAAGCAGCTCACTGAGCTGCCACAGGAAGCATGAATCAAAGCCAGCCCTGCCTTCTTCTCATAGCTTACTGGCTACCCCATCAGTGTGGAGGGCCATTACTACTTCCCTAATGCTAGTCAGGTGAGGCACTCAGCTTCCCCCCAGGTGATGCACAGATATGAGGCACAGCACAGCAGGAGCTGCCTCAGCTCAGTGCTTGCTTTGGGCCACAAAGCAGGGAGGAGCTCCAGCTCCGCAGTCCCTCAGCAGAGGCCACTGCTCAGAGCTTCTCACCCCTGTTCTACCACTCCTGATGGATGCTGCTTCCAAGCCCAGCCAGCAGTTGGATCAAGCCCCCTTAAGAACCATCTCCTTACACATAGAATGAAACCCCAGAGGTGCTTTCTGCCATTCTCAGAGAAGGCTGTCATTGGAGAGCAGAGCTGATAAAACACATCTTTCAAAACCTGCAGATGTCCTGGAGCCTTCCCACAGAAGGCAGGCCTTCTAGTTTAAGATCAGGTTGATCTCTATAGCACTACTTTGCCATTTCCCTGATCCTTATCACATTCTGCATGGCTGAGCAGGTATCCAGCAGCAGCTCCAGCTTTAAAGCTGCCATTTGTGCTAAACAGAGGTGTGACTTGTCCTACAGAGATCTTAAAGATTCAGATGGATTGAAGAAGCCCTGATATCCTAACTGGAGTCTCTAACAAAAGAAGCCAAAGGCTCAAACTACTCCAGGATCACAACTACATACATGTCCTAAGCTATTTAGATCTCATTTCTGATGAGCACTGCTAGTACAAAACTACAGGAGAACAAGAATATAGCTTCTGCTGACAGACAGTGCAGGTTTATGTATCCATTAGGCAGTTAGTTCACATGAGAAATTTCTCTGGTTACACCTGCGAGAAGCAGGACATCACTGGGCCAAGCTGAGATGTAGGTTCCACAGGGTTCTCCCAGACTTCCAGTATGACAAGCTCAGGTTGAGCATCACCACAGTTTTGAGCTCATCAAATCGGTGGTATCCAAGGCTGAGACCATTTTGTAACACGCATGCAACTTCTCTGCTTTGTGGTATCTGGTGTGATTATTCTAGAGCAGCATCCTGCAAGAGTCACAGAAGCCCTTAAGATGGCAGTGTGTGAGCTCACACAGGGCTCCCATCCAGTCCCAGGAGCATTTCTGAACAAACACTTCCTCTTTCAGAGAAGTCCTGAAGAGAAATGTTAACATTTGCCTCAAGATATAGTTTTGTTTTACACTGTGCCAAGTCTCCCATAGAGAAGTCACCTGGATGACTGATGATAACACAGCCTACCAGCACATCCATCTAGCCTTGTTTAGGGGCTGTCAAAGCTCCATCAGTTGGGAGGCCAGTCAGCACTTTCCTCTCTCCTGGCTTTACAGCTGCCAAAGGAATGATGCAGCTCCTCAGAGGGGAGAGAGAAGTCTGTCCACTCAATTTTTAGTGCCTATCCCTGTAAGAAAGCAAGCCATTACCAGTGTTGGCTCCCATGAGGTTCAGCCTAGAACGGCACATTCACTGTCAGTAATATTACCACCTGCGTAACACTGGCCCACAAGAGCAGGAAGGAAGAACCCTCACAACACACCTGCACGTGTTGCTGACTTAGCTGGCCAAACAGAAGAATCAGGAACAGTCTGATGAAGCTCTGTAGCACAATTGCCTAGATGCAAGAGTAAAGAGTCTGTGCCAAATCTAATTAGACTTCCCTTGTCGCTTCAAAGCACATTACAATTGTCCTTTCATTGGCTATATTAAGACAGCTGTTTTAGCTCAAGTAGAAATGGATGGTTAAGGATTCCTTAGAGATGCTCATGCGTCAGGTGACAGTGCAGGCACTTCAATATTAATTAGGTTGGTGCAAGCAGAGAACAGCAGGAGCTCACACTGGCAGCCCACTAGATCTCTTATATTAGTTACACTCAGACAGAAGTAGGCCTTGTGATAGAAATACCCTGTTAAGTCACTCAGGAACAGTTTGGGTATAGAAGTAGCCAGGCTTGGGCAAGGACACTCAGCTTTATGGAAGATAGCAGCATGTTGGTTTTAAACCTGCCAATAAGCCACCCGAGCAGTCTACCATTGCTCCTTCACTATTAAACAGTTCAAATCACAATCTTAACCAGCAAAGCAGCCCAAGCCAATGCTAGGTGAACAGGGCCATTTGATAAGGAGCCCTCTGCTCCTGCATCTAGCAGCCTGCCATCTGTGCCTTCCACTAGGAGGTAGCACAAAGCTGAAACAAGACTATTGCAGCCCACTTCTCTTCCCCAGTCCTTTGGCAGGGACATTTAACACTGCTCAGACAAGGTGCAAACAGGAGGTGAGCAAGCACCAAGCAGACAAACTCACCGCGATTCTTCAGAATTCTCTGTTTTCCTCCCTGTCCTGCAGACAGGGCAATAGTGAGCAGGCGTTCCATGGGAAGATACCCCATTAAGAGATAGGCTCACCACAGTCTGAGCAGAGGAACAGCCACCTGAGTACTAGGAAAACCTTCTGTAAAGAAAACTTTACCCTGGAATTGATCAAAATTGTTCTGAAAAGCAGCTATGTACATTTCCGACACAGAAACGCTACCTCTG